ACAACTGCCCCCCGCCCTGCCACATCCCTCAGCCCTGTGTGCCCACCTGCTTCCTGCTCAACTCCTGCCAGCCCACCCCGTGTCTGGAGACCATCAACCTCACCACCTGCACTCAGCCCTGCTGTGAGCCATGCCTCCCGAGCTGCTGCTGATGGAGGGCCGCTGCACTCGGCGCCTGAGGATGAAGGACCCAGGAGCTGTCTGTTCAGGATTCACTTGCCTCGGTAGTTTATCAGAGGTTGAGGCAGACCAAAGGGCACAAGTACGGAAAACCTACCTTTCATTTTAATGGAAAAGAAAAATTTTTAAATGGTGATGGTTATTTGGCTGGGTAATCATTTGATTCATTTGGGCAGGTGACTATCATCTATTATCAAAAGACATTAAAATCTGCGAGACTTCAGACAGTATTTTCTTGGTCATGTTGCTTCCTGGATCCCATTTCTTGTCTTGGATATTTTCATAAAGCAGGGGGGGAAATCGTAATGGGTTTTCCAATAAACTTTGTTTCTCTGGCAATATGTGTTCTTTATTTGTGTTTTTGGTATATTTTTTTTTCATGTTTTTAAAAAGATAAAAGTAAGATGGTTATTTTGTTATTTTTTAAAAGAATCTAGTAGGAAGGACTAAAACGAGCTTACTAACATGGTTTGCTAACTTTTAATTGGTAATCTTTTATGTTCACCTTCTGTCTCCTCTTACTCAGAAACTACCATTTTGGGGGTGAGCCAACATTTATTTACTTATCCTTTGCCAGGTAGATTACATGTGTTAACTCATGTGATCTTTAAAATAGCACTAACAGATGAGGAAGATGTAGCTTAAGAGTTATTCAACCTTCTCAAAGTCATAAAGTTGGTTACTAAGAAAACCAGAATTCAGTTCCTTGCACATGTGACTTTAAAGGCCAATTATTTCTACCACATCACAGAACCTCCAATACTAAAAGCGCCAGAAGCTTAATGAACAGAGTTATGACATTGAAAATATGCATGAGAAATAAAAAGTGTAAGAATCTTAACAAAATCTTATCCAATTGTAATAGAAAAAGATAGATTAGCTCACGGATTAAAAGTGACAGGAACTCAATTCTAAGATCTGGGTCATTGATGGGCCTACCAATTTTGACTTCATTTTTCCTTAGGAAGATATCAAATTATCATTCTAGTAGCAGGGCATTAGGAATACACCTCTCTACCTTCCCCCATCCTCAGCACAGAGGTCTAATTGGCATATTACCCTTTTATTATTATAGAAGATGCAATATGGCATATTATATATAAATTACATGTAACATATATATAAAAGCACAAGTCAAAATCTGAAAAGGTAATGAACTAAACTAAAACAGTGCATGTGAAGAAGAAAAAAAAGGTAGAGCAAGGAAGCGGGGAAGAGAATGCCTTTACATAAGCATGTTTTTAAATGTCCTTAGTGTGATTTCTGGTCAAGATGGCAGAGTAGGTAGGTAAATGCAGTACTACTCACATCCTCCCACAACTACACCAAAATTATAACTGAACTACAGAACAACCATCACTGAGAACCACCCGAAGTCTAGCTGAACAGAAGTCATATAACTAAGGATATTTAGAAGAAGCCACCTGGAAATAGGCAGGAGGGGCTGAAACGTGGAAGGAGCTGGCCCCACGCCGATGGGTGGCTGTTTAAAAACAGGAGGAATATCTCAGTTATAGAGGTCCCCCCTGAGGAGTGTGGAGTCCCAGCCCTACACCAAACTCCCCAGCACTGGGAAGGAGGAGGAGAGGCAGGAGGGAGAAGGAGATGGAGAGGAGAAAGAAGTGGAGGAGAGGGATGAAGAGAAGGGGAGGAGCTGAGGAGAAGAGGAGGAGAGAAGGAGGAGGAGGCAGTAACAAATACATATCTATCAACAATTACTTTAAATGCAAATTGATTAAATGCTTCAATCAAAAGACATAGAGTGAGTGAATGGATAAGAACATAATATCCACAAATACGCTAACATGTCTACAAGAAACTCACTTCAGATAGAAAGACACACAGGCTGAAAGTAAAGGGATGAAAAAAATATTTAATGAAAATGGAGGGGAGAGCATGGATAGCAATACTTATACCAGACAAAATAGACTTTCAAGCAAAGGCTATAACAAGAGACAAAGAAGGACCCAGCAATGCCACTTCTGGGTATTTATCTGAATAAACCTAATTTAAAAAGACATAAACATCCATATGTTCATTATTATTTACATCATTATTTACAATAGCCAAGATATGGAAGCAATCTAAGTAGACAAAAATAAATGCATAGATAAAGAAGTGGCACATATATACAATGGAATATTACGAGGCTATAAGAAAGAATGATGAAATCTTGGCATTTGTGACAATATGGATGGACCTAGAGGGTATTATGCTGAGTGAAATAAGTCAGACAGAGAAAGATAACCATCATGATTTCATTCATATGCCAATCAAAAGAACAAAATAAATGAACAAAACAAAAACAGATTCACAGATACATAAAACAATTTGACAGTTGTCAGAGGGGAGGATTTTGGGTGACTGGGTGAAAAAGGTGAAGGAATTAAGAAGTACAAATTGGTAATTACAAATTGGTCATGAGGATGTATAGTATATAGTCAGTAATATTGTAATAACTATGTATGGTGCCAGATGGGTACTGGATTTATTGAGGTGATGTTTTCGTAAGTTATATAAATGTTTCATTACTTGGTTGTATACCTGAAACTAATATAATATTGTATATCACCTATAATTGAAAAAAAATTAAAAATATTTTTAAAAGTGAAAAATGTTCTCAGTGTACCTGTCAGTCTCTCCAGGGAAGAATTTCTCAGAGGACCCCACAGCTTGTTAGCAGAACATCTTTAAACGAACAGAACTTAGAAGCCAGGACGCAAATCAACAAGGGATTTAGTCCATTTACTCACTCCTTTGGCCAGTATTTCTTGAGTGCTTCCCCTGTGCTAGGAACCATATCCATTCTAGAAGTATAAAGATAAAAGAAATGTGATTACTTAAGATGTCCTCAAGTTTCTCTCAAATCTGGGAGAGTTATTATAATCATGATTTACATGCTCTATATATGTTGAGTGAATATAATTATAATGCTGTGTGATTTCTGCTGTGACTGAGATGTGAGCAGCAAGCATGCAAACATGCACAGAGTAACGAAAGCCCAGATCTGGTGATCCAATGTCAGGGTGAGGAATGGTTATGGAAAGCTCCGAGATATCCAGCTGAGCATTACAAGGCAGAGGGGTGGGGAGCAGTTGTTCCAGGCAGAACAGCAGCTTAGTAACTCATAGATGTAGTGACCACGGGGATAAGAGGATGAGGCGAGCAGGAGAGAAAAAATGCAAAGGCCCAGGGTGATGGCTCCCCAGAGGAAGGGGTCTAGATAAAAACTTCAAAGCAATGAGAGATTTGAAGCTAGAAACTAACAATCATATTTTACTTCTGTTTCTTTTTATTGTCAATCTTTAATTTTTGCCTTCACTGTCACAGAAGTCCCTGTTGCTTATAGAATGGCATACTTAACTGAACACGTAGGGTGGGGCGGGAACCGGGTGGAAGGGAGTTATGGAGGGGAAGGAAAAACAATTGTAATAATCAGAGCAATAAAGATTTATTTTTTTAAAAAAAAACTGGACATGTTCCAGGGTGTGTGTGTGTGTGTAGATTTTTAGCACTTTGAAAATCTACCATCTAATAAGAGTCATCATGGTTTTCCCACATTTACTTAAAGGGAAAAAATACCCTTTGTTTCTAAAAATAAAATGTTTAGTACCTCTGACATATATTGTAGACTTCATTTTAAACCACATAAAAAGTAGCTCTATCCTTATAGGTCCTATATTTAGTGTTTAACAAGTCAGTCACCGGACCACCTAAGGCAAATTATCTCACTTCTCTTTGACTCACTATCCTAATGTGGAAACAGGAAAGTAATTCCCAGGTCTCGTGACCATTGCAGAGAAAATAAATTTAAATAAACTATTGCAAGTCTTTTTAATAAAAGAGATGAATTTATTAGCATAGATTTATTTTACAACTGTTTCTAATGTGTATTCTTAAGTCGATACTTTACACAGAACAGTAACAATTCTTTTATCCTTATAATTTTGATTCAAAGTCACACTGTATTCTACATAAGAGATGGATATCTTTCTATCATGAAATTCCAATTGTGGAAGTCTGCAAGCCCCTTTGTAATGTCTTTCTTAAAATTTTCAAAATAATTTCCTTCTGCTTATTGTTTTTCTGCTCTTAGAATCCAGTCTTCTTTTGTTATATCAAAATGTATAACAACAATAATTTATAATAATATATTATGTGTGTGACAGAACTTCTATCAGGCTCTAGGTTCCATAAGAACAAGGATGTCTATTTTTTTAAATTGATTTCAGAAAGGAAGGACCTTGGGAGAGAAAGATAGAAACATCAATGATGAGAGAAAATTATTGATCGGCTGCTTCTTGCACACCCCACATTGGTAGGGATTGAGCTCATAACCCAGGCAGGTGCCCTGGCTGAGAATCAAGCCCTCATCTCGGGTTCATAGGTCAATGAATACTTCATCAGATCAATGGATGCAGATAAAGATAAGGAGAATAAAAACTGACCAGCACTAGACCACAGGGGTACTATGATGCAATATTCCCCAGCAGGGCTGTGTTGGACTTATAATAGCAGAAGGCTTTGGTGATACCTCATAAAGCTTCTGTTCCCGTGACAAACAGAAAGAGTAATCAGCTCAGAATTAGCCAGGAACTCACGTAAAGGTTAATTAGGAGAATAGAAACTATTTACAAGCATCTAAATGTCAAAGGATAATGGACACAATAACATAAACAAGAACCAGGAAAGAAGCCTTCTGGTTGGACAACACCCACTGGGGAGGGTATATAAGAACCCCAGAGCCAGGAGACATCCGTGTCTCAGAAACCTCATTTGTCTTGAAACCAAACCAATAAAAACCACCGAGTCCCGCCGCCATGGCCTGCTGTGCTCCCTGCTGCTGCAGCGTCCCCACCGGCCCCGCCACCACCATCTGCTCCTCTGACAAGTGCTGCCGCTGTGGAGTCTGCCTGCCCAGCACCTGCCCACATACCACCTGGCTGCTGGAGCCCACCTGCTGTGACAACTGCCCCCCACCCTGCCACATCCCTCAGCCCTGTGTGCCCACCTGCTTCCTGCTCAACTCCTGCCAGCCCACCCCATGTCTGGAGACCATCAACCTCACCACCTGCACTCAGCCCTGCTGTGAGCCATGCCTCCCAAGCTGCTGCTGATGGAGGGCCGCTGCACTAGGCGCCTGGCATGAAAGAGTCCACCCAGAAGCTTTATTGTTCACCCATCTCAGTATATGCTACTAATTGACTTTGCTTTCGAAGTTGGAACAAGGATGGCACTCTTACTGATACACCACCACCACCATCCCACAAAAAAAAAATAAAGAACTAGAAGAAGAAGAACAAGAAGAAACCAAGAGGCTTTCAATGCCATGTGGGGATATCAGTAATCAAGGACAATTTGAGCAGGTAGATGCCTAAGGATTTGCCAAAGTTGTTCAGTTTCTTCCTAGCAAAGCATATCTTTTTTTTTTTTTCGGAGTTTGGGAATTCTGTTTTCAATCTTGAATGGCATCTTCCTAGAAATTGAGCAGCTTCTTCATGATCATTCTAATAAATTTTACGTCTCTGGCATAGCACAAATGTTTACAATTGCTTTGTTCTCTGTTAACTCCTTAAATGTATTTATTAACTACAAAAGTCGGCATTTAAACCAGTTAACTGCCACGATGTTTTGAATTTAATTAAAAAAGGTCTGCGGCTTGTGTCTATAGATGATTATAACATAAAAATGGTTAAGAAAAAATGAAAACATCTGCAAGACTGAAAATGGTGGCAGTATAAATGTTTCATTCTTGTAAAAAAAAAAAAAACTAAATATTCTTGCCTAAGAGCTGGTTTATTACACTGGCATACATGAAAGTAGACTTTATCTGACTTGTCCATTCAAAAAAAATTGTTTAAGATAGGTTGGGAAATACTGAACCTAATCTGAAGATCAAATATGATCCTATATAATAAAAGGCTTATATGCAAATCAACCGGCAAAATGATTGGTTGCTGTGACATGCACTGACCACCAGGGGACAGACGCTCAATGCAGGAGCTGCCCCCTGGTGGTCAGTGCACTACCACAAGGGGAGCACCACTCATCCAAAAGCCAGGCTCACGGCTGGTGAGTGCAGTGGTGGTGGTGGGAGCCTCTCCTGTCTCCATGGCAGCGCTAAGGATGTCTGACTGACGGTTTAGGCCTGCTCCCCACAGTTGGACATCCCCCAAGGGCTCCTAGACTATAAGAGGGTGCAGACAGGCTGAGAGGACCCCCCCCCCAGTGCAAAATTATCATGCACCGGGCCTCTAGTATAACATATTAACTCATCCAGGTGACTATTTATGGGGGAAAATTAATAATATAATGTCATTACTGAATTTCTATTTTTTGAATTCTTACTGAACATTCTACATTTTATTGTCCCTGCTTAAAATGAGCTGACAGTCTGACAGGTTAGGTATATACATGCACAATACCCACTCATTCCTTCAGACAACTAACCATTATTTATTGAATGCCAGGCACTGAATTAAAATAAGAAAATACAAGTGATTTGCCACTTTAGTAAAGTGCTGCTCTACAATAAAATTGAGAACAATTAAGAAATTAAGATTGCTGCCATGGTGATGTGGAGGAGAAAGACATGGTCAAAGACAAATTGACTAGAGGTAGCAGCCAAAGGGGTATGAAAAAAAAGAGAGCATCCAAGGAAAACTAGGCAGTGGAGTTATGCCAACAGAGCAAAGAGTTGGAGAGAAGGGAGCATAGAAAGAGGAGAAATTAAAAAAAAAAATAAGTATTGTGTTCTGCTGAAGACATGTCAAGTTTGAGGCACAACTGGCATATCTAAATAGAGTTTAGGCAGCTGGAATTTGCACAATGGCGCAAGGAAAGGAAGAAAATGTATGAGAAAGGATGCAGAAGTCTGTGTGAAAGTTTTTAATCAAGTCTTTGCAGAGGGCGGGGTTGCATGACACGGGGTGCAATTCCATAAGGCTAGCAAAGAGTACCTGCCGGGGGACAAAGAGTTCAGTGAAGACACAGAAGTCACTCAACACTAACGAGTGTGCCAGCCCATTCAGAGTACCTCCAGAATTCATTCCGTATTCCAGAAAGACACACCAAAAGAGGAAGGATCACAACCTTGAGCAAAGAACACACAAAATTATACCTGCCCTAGAAAATCCTAAAAAGCCACACCTGACAGGATCAAGAGGAACTTCCAGCGACTTACTTCCTATCAGAATAAGACTCAAAACTTTGCAATATAATCAAGACTTCCTAAAAGACTTCCTAAAAGATATCCTCCAGAATGAACAGCATGTAATTAAAAATTGTCAGCCATGTGAAGAAGCTGGAAAATATCTTCCATGATTCAGAGAAAAAGCAGCCAATAAAAACAGGTACTTAGATACACAGATGTTAGAATTAGCAGACAAGAATTTTTAAACATGCCTAGCTGGTGTGGCTTGGGGGTTGAGCTTTTACTTATGAACCAGGAGGAAACAACCAAAGTGTCCCTCAATAGATGACTGGATACAATGGACTACTACTCTATCCAGTCATCTACTGGACTACTACTCAGCCATAAGAAAAGATGAAATACTGCCATTTGTGACAACATGGATGGATCTTGAGAATGTCATGATAAGTGAAATAAGTCATCCAGAAACATCAAGCAACATATATTCCACTCAAATGTATGATATAAAATTGAAAGTAACAAATAAACAACCAAAAACAATCAAGAAAAAAAGACAACAATATGATGGTTAGGAGAAGTAGTAAAAGGTAAAGGGGTTCAAATATATGGTGAAGGGCCAAGACTGGTTTGGCTCAGTGGATAGAGCGTCGGCCTGCGAACTCAAGGGTCTCAGGTTCGATTCCAGTCAAGGGCATGTATCTTGGTTGCGGGCACATCCCCAGAAAGGGGTATGCAGGAGGCAGCTGATTGATGATTCTCTCTCATCGATGTTTCTAACTCTCTATCCCTCTCTCTTCCTCTCTGTAAAAAATCAATAAACTATATATATATATATATATATATATATATATATATATATATATATAGATAGATAGATAGATAGATATATATATATATATATATATATATATATAGAAGGTTTATAAACAAGGTTTTTTGGGTGGTTGGCACACAATGAAATATACAGATAATGCATCATCAAATTGTACTTGAAATCTATATAACCTTATTAATCAATGTCACCCAATAATTTTTAAATAAATAAATGAATGACAACAGTTCCATATCTCCAAAGAAAAGCCTTCCATAGCTCAATTGACCCTACTCTGAGGCGTAATCACTGAGGATTTCCAAGAGACTAAAAGATTAAAACTTAGAATTTATATTTCACTCTTATTAGAAATTCAGGGGAAAAATAGTATCCTTGATCTAAAACAGAGACATAGGAAGTGTGGAGAAGGCATGTTTCAGGGCATTGAAAAATCACATCTCCAGGTCTTGATAACCAATAAAAGGTCTGCTGTTTCATTTATATTTTGGCCTGGAGGGCACAAATTATGCCCATCAATCATTAAAGTGACTTTTCAATTTGCACGCAGACAGATGTCATTTATACACAGACACACAATTCAAACCCAGTACATGTCTCCCTCTTCTACCAGGTGAGCACAAGCAAGAGTAGAAAAGTTTTGCAAATATTGATAATCACACAGAACATTTTTATGGTGGTGGCACAAACAATATAAATGGTATTTAATGTGTTGTAATCTATAATAATAAAGTATAATATGCAAATCAACCGAACAGCTGAACAGTAGAATGACCATCCAGATGACCACGCTATGACACCCATTGGCGCCAGGCCAGCCAAGGCAGGTACCATGTGATTGGTTGGGGGCCCAGCCATCACCCCATGATAGCCCTTCAGAGGGAGGCCCAGGCCACCAACTGGCAGGCTGCAGTGGGTAGGCGGGGCCTCCCTCTGCAGGAGCAATCCATCATGGAGCTCCTAGACTGTGAGAGGGAACAAGCCAGGCTGAGGGAAAACACCCCCCCCACCCCCCACAGAGACATGAACAATTTTCAATGCACAGCATCAAAATCTGTGGAAATGTGATTTTCCTTATTTGTGATCATTATTGTGTTGGCCAAATTTTCTTTCTTTCCTTATTCTGCCAAAAGGACAATGGTTCCTCTGAAGATTTTCTAAAACAAGAATATTATCCTACTAGCACATGGAGATGGTGTCCTTATTTAGTAACCTGAAGTTATGCCTCTTTTATGAGGCATAAAACTCTTTCTCAGCAAACAAACAACACTAATGAATGTTCGCATGGAAACTGGTACCAACAGTGATAAAGAAAACTTCCGTGCATTCTGTAAATACCCATTTGGGGGCTATATAAAAGCCCCAGGAGGGAAGGAGTCTTTTGGAGTCAGGCAACTTGAGTTTTGCTGCTGATATTTGTGCCTCACTTCAAGATGACTTCTGATAGTTCCCCCACATCCTGCTCTTCTGAGTCCCCTGCCGAGGTTTCTGATGGTGCAACTGCTTCAACTGGTCCTACGGAAACCACTTGTCTCCCCAACACCTGTGCTACAGCCAGATGCCAGACTCCTAGCTTCCTGGCCACGACTTGCTTGCCAACCACTTGCTTCACACCATGCTACCTCGCTGGGAGTTGTAGCCTTCCATGCATGGTGGGGAACTGTGCTTGGTGCAAGGAGGGGGTGTTCAACAGCAATGAGAAGGAGACCATGCAGTTCCTGAATGACAGACTCGCCAGCTACCTGGAGAGGGTGCATGCCCTGGAGGAGATGAATGCCGAGCTGGAATGCAGGATCCGGGAACAATGTGGCGGGGACATCCCACTGGTGTGCCCTGATTATCAGTGTTACTTCGACACCATTGAAGATCTCCAACGAAAGGTCTGGTGTCTCCTTGTTCCTAATGCGCCACTTTGACAATCTGTGATGAGCTCTCTCTTCACACTGGAAGAGGCTCTAGAAGGAAACCAAGGAAAAGGGACTTCCGGGGGGTGATATGACGCAGAGGAAAGGGGTCTGGATTGAAAGTCAGGAAACAGCTCACCCAGGGGCCGCCACTGATTACTGAGTGACCACAATACACTCACGTACCTCTAGGCTTTTGTCATCTATGGAATGAGAAAAAAATTGTGCTGT